GTATGTAGATGCTGATTTTGTTGAGTATGCTTTAAATGGAGTAGAATGTGTACAATCTAGCAATGGGCATTCTTTAAAAATATTTGGATTTGATTTTATTTTGTGGTGTGTTACAGCCAATTTTGGTAAATTATAAAATCATTATGATTTTTTGGAATTTGAGATAATTTTACAAAGTAATGCTGGGTTTTATTGGAAGGGGTGAAGTATTTTGTGTTTGGTTGGAGAAATAAATTTTTTGGTTATTGTTGAAGAAGTCAGTTCATTCTTTGGTGAAATTCGCGTCAATGTGGAGATTGTTAGAATTTGGGTGTGACTCGAATTCCTTATTGAAGTAATTGAAGAATTCTAATTGAAGTGCACATCAAGAAAAAATCAGTTTGGAATGCTATTGGAGTCATATGTCAAGTTGNAAGAATTCTCTCTACTATGTCTGTTAGAATTTGGGTGTGACTAGAATTCTTTATTAAAGTAATTGAAGAATTGTAATTGAAGTGCACGTCAAGAAGAATTCAGTTTGGAATGCTATTGGAGTCATATGTCAAGTTGAAATTTTATTTTGGAAGCCCATTGGGAGTTGTAATTTGTTTTAGACTCGATTTTTTGGTATCCTACTTCATCAGTAACTCTACTAGAAAGGTTTGGACATCTCCTACATGTTCCCTATAAATTCTAGGCTATTCTATACAATTTTATGGTGTGAGAAAATAGATTACTAGAATTATAGGATCTATTGTAATTTTTCTCTCTTCTCCATATTCTTGAGTCAATAAAATCTGTTAATTCCTCTGTCATATTCTTATCTTTATTATTCTTTTGCTTGATCATATACTTCATTATTATTTGCCATATAACTTCAGCATCTTAATCCGATGGTCTGTTTCAAAACAATTGGTATCAGAGTGTTTGTTTTACAACATATTTCTTATCCAAATTGAAGTCTATTTAGCTTTTAACAACGTTCATCATGTGAAAGATTGATTAAAACCATGATCAAATTCTTAAATATTCTCCATGATATACAGGGCCGAAGTTATCAACTTGTATCAACAATTTTATTTTGTTTTTTTAAACAGAAACAAGATGGAACTCTATCCAATTTGAGCTAAAAGGCTTTAACAATCTACTGGCACTTTCCTGAAGCAGGAATTTGTTTATCTTCATTCTGAAGATGAAGATAATCAGGTGAGACTCTTAATTTTGTTCTTTGCACATCATTTCCACGAGCTGATGACTAGTGTTTTATTTTATTTTCCCAACTTTATTATATGCCATTCTTTTCTATTTAGAAAAACTCTGTTGCCATGGCAATGAAAGGGTGATATACAAGCTTATTGTAGTGTAGATTGATAGAGAGAGAGATAGAGAGAGAGAGAGCTGTGCAGAAGGAAGAGATACATGATGTATGAAAGAATTGAGGATATTAAACAACTCAGGGAGCCATTGATGGAAAGATTCAGGTGATTTTAGCTATATTTCTAATGAGGCACATGTGCCCATTTCCCAGATACTCTCATAATCCTATTGCTTCTTCGACAAGAAAAGACATTGCTATCACGCATAAGGATAGTTCTCTCTTTCAAATGCACCTCGATGCGTGCATGGTGGACCTGTTATTGAATTGCCGTATGGCATTCTGTGTCACTTCTGATGGCAAGTTGAGCTCAATAACCTGTACAACTTTGTGATGATTCTTGACATCTGCATCTTAAGGCGTCAATTGTAATAAATATTAGCCAATGTCGACTAAGCAGTAATGGTTAGATCTGGATCGCACATTTTGCCACACCGAAGAGAATAGTATAAGATGATTTTGCATAAATCTTGACACATAATTGTTGTATAATTCTTAAAATTTGAAGTTGCTATCATAAAATCTAGTCGATCACAATTTAAGGAATTCTCACCCTTGTGCAACCAAGCAGATTAGTTTGTATGAATTTTTCTTTTATCAATTCTAAATTTCCCAGAAAACTAATTTCCATTTGTTGAGGGAAATATTGACACCAAAGATTTCGGGCTCAGTATTTTACACAATACCAAATCGACACCACCAAGGTTCCGACCCAAACACTTCTACAGCCTCCCTTAACTCCGGTTGCTTAGTATTGCCCACAAAGGACATGGGATAAATAGTTTTATTGCAAACACGAAAACGCCCCAGAGGCTGAAAGAGAGATAGAAAGAATACACTGCAAAACCAGTAAGCACAAAGCCAGGAAGAAAGGTTGCAGTCGGGTCTCTCAATAATAGGCAAGTGAATAATGTTTTTCACACACAGTCAACACATGAACGAGGGCCAGCATATATAAGGGATAGGTGGTGATGCTGGAGCATCTGACTCAGATGACATTGAGCTGTCGATAGTACGTTGATTGCGCTAAGATATCACGAGTTGGACGCAAATATGTCAATGAACGTAATCTTTTTCTAATTGGGCGACATTTGGACGAGTTTTGGTAATTTGGTCATAACTTTGGCTACGATTTTCGGAATCGCGCTCATGTCTCCAATTCGAAAAGCTCTTTTCGACGCACACATCGTGGCCACCTAGTATGCTTGGAACGAATCGTTTTCGAGGGCAAAATCCGATGTTTCCCTTTCAAATTCCAATTTTAAGTTACTTTTTGCCTTTTTTAATAATATTTCGCTTTCCTTTTTAAGATAGATTATGAACCCGGATTGAGCTGAATTTTTGGGCTTTTATTTCTTTTATTACGAATTATCTTTTGGTATGAATATTGAAATTATGCTAGTTTTGGTAAAATTCCGATAATTTTGATTT